TAATTCAAAGTAACACCAACAAGTTACTTATAAAACCTAAAGCTAGTTTTGAGCCTAAGAATTACCTCAGTGGTAGAACACTGGGCTGGGAGCTCAATACCTTGGGCCCAATTCCTAAACTGAGGGCAGGGCTACAGAAATCAGAGATATGGGAGCGGATGAAACTAAATTCTGAGTAGAAATCTGGGGTCAAAAAACCCTCCTGATCTGTAATTGGGAAGTAGATTCTTAGGTATGGACACCAAAGTCATATGCAGCAGAGGAACCAAGTAGAGAAATCAGACCATTAAAACTTTAAGAAATGTGTGCATAAAAAGACGTCTTTTGAAAAAAGGAAAAAAAGACTATCTACAAGTCAGACAAAAATATTTGTAAATACCATATTTGGCAAAGGTTTACTATCCATAAAACAAAAATTTCTCAAAATCAACCATGAAGAGTCCAAAACAGATGCATATTCTGAAAAAAAATATAAAATCAGTAACAATTCCCTCATCACCACTTAGGAACAGTTACTCAATTCTTGTTATTCATTTGCATAATTTTCTTATTCAAAGAATGTATATAAGCTTGAAACAAGTAGTTCCCATTTGTAATCTGAGCTACTTAGGAGTATGAGACCTGGGAGGATTGTCACAGCAAAGTTTGTGAAACTCCATGTACAATTAGCCAACAAAAATGCTGGGCTGAAGGAATATCTCAGATCATAGGATTCTCTCAGAGTAAGCAAGCAGAATAAAAGTATGAAGCCCTGAGTTCAAACCCAATACTGATTAGGAAAAAAATAGATGTAAGTTTGGTCATATAGTCAATCAGATCTGAGATCGGCTTTTAATTCTATTTTATTATTAATCTAATCTATTTTTAGTTTTTGGTGGGTAGTTGTACAAAGAAGTTGCCATTCAACAGAATAGTTTAATAATACAGTGCCTGTTGATCAATCTCAGTCCTTTTAATCTTCTCATCACCCCTCCCATCTCACCATTTGCCTCACTTTTCTTAAGTTTTAGATTATATATTGAATTTGTTTGCCATTTAACAAAGCAATTTATATATACAATGCATTTTGATCTGGGTCACCATTCAACAGCTTCATTCCCTTTCACCTACCCTTTTCCTTATTTTTCTCATTCCTGTGCCATATACAATGCATTTTTGCCTGTATTCCATTCATTTCACCTATTCATTCTTCTATTCTCTTCTCTCACTCCCCACTCCCCCTTTGCAAGTACCCATTTATTAGTACTCATTTTGTTAGGGTTTGACTTAAGTTCTCTAAAGCATTATACTATTTGTGTTCTCTATAGATTCTATTTTACTTCATTTAATTCATTTATAACCACTTGGATGCCACCCAGTGTACTTACTTGTAGATTTATAGGCACAAACTAAGTAGAAAGACCACAGAATAGGGAAGTTACCAGCTACCCAACAGATGAGGATCTAATATCCAAAATATAAAAATTACAGCTCACAAAACTGAGAAACATCAAAAGATACCATCCCAAATAAACAACTTAATAAATGGACTAATGGCTTAAAGAGAGTCTTCTCAGAAGAAGTAAATATGGGCAATAGACATATGGAGAAATGTTCATCATCTCTGGCCATAAAGAAAATACATATCAAAACAACATGATATTCCACCTTATCCTCATTATAATAGCTAGTATCAAGAAAACTAACAATAACAAATTCTGGTGGGGAAGTCCCTGAAAGGGAACTTTATTATACTGTTTGTGGGAATTAAAATTTGTTCAATCACTCTGGAAAGCAGTGTAGAAGTTCCTCAAAAGACTAAACACAGAGCTTCCCTATGATCCAGCAATTCCACTTCTGGGCATCTATCCAATAGAACAAGAAAAAAGATACACTAAAGCCACCACCACAACCATGTATATTGCAGCATTATTTCCCATAGTCAAGATATGGAATCAGCCCAAATGTCCCTCAATATATGAATGTATCAAAAATGTTGTATATATACACAATAGAATTCTATTCATCCATCAGAATGACAGGTTTTTAAAACTGAACATTATTCTGACATTGTCCCAAGTTCTTCCACAAGTCAAAACATTATTTCTTTTTACTTATGATGTATATGCTATTGAAAGGTTCTGCACAGTTTAACCAACTACCTACAAAAGAACATTTGGGTTACACTGCAGCTACAAAAACTAAACTGCTGTAATTTTTGTGTTTAGGCTTCTGAGTGAAAGTAAGTTTTCATTTCTTCAAGAAAAATGTCCTGAAATGAGTTTGCCAGGTTGGATGATAGTGCATGTTTAGTTTGTAAAGAGACTACCAAGAAATCACCCAAAGTAGGCAAACCATTTTACATATTTCCAGTAGTAATGTTGAAGATTCTCTCAATGCATGCTGTAATTTAATGCTATCACTAATTCTTTACCTTTAGCCATTTTATAGGTATGAAGTTATAACTTGTTTCCAATTGATGCTGATGATACTGAAGTATTTATAGTCATTTGAACAACCCCTTCAATGAAATCTCCTTTTATATCTGGGACTATTTTTTATTGTATGATTGCTTTGTTGTTGCTTTTAAGTGTTTAAAGAGCTGTTTGCAAAAGAATATTGGTATTGTCAAATATGTAATTGGAAATATTTTCTTTTATACTATTGTTTCTATATTCATCCTCATTGTAGGGTCTTTCACACAAAACTAAATACTTGTTCCTTTCATGGGCTATACTTTTGGGGAAAAATTTGGACTTTACTTTTAGGGAACAATTTAAGAAATTTCTCCTTGGTCCCAGATCTGAAGGTAATTTTTCATGTGTTTATTTCTCCCTAAAGGTGTCAGATTTACAGTTTATATTTAGATGCATGATCCATTTTGAGTTTGGATTTCTTTATGGTATAAAGCTAGAACCAATACATTGTTCTGTTTTATTTTTTATCATACTTTCTCTTGTTTCTTTTGCCTTTTTATTGGCATACATTAGATGTACAAGGAGGAATTCATCTCATTCATCCTCTTCTTTTGCTTCTCTCCTCCCTCTAACACAACCTTTCATAAAAAGATTGTTTTATTTCCTGTCATTCCTTTTATTATGACAAGTAACATGTAACAAAAAAGGCTTTCATCATGGTATTTCAGATGTGTATATAGTACATCTTAATCAGAATAAACTTCACTATTACTTTATATTTACCTGACAATCAATGCAATTGATCAGCAGCTTTTGTGAAGGTTCCTTATGTTATTTTATATAAAGCTGCACATATAACTGCAATTGAAGTTATTCACCCTTCATTTATCTTTTCCCCTTGTTCTCCATCCCTCATTCCATCAAACAATTCCATAATTAGAATCATATATTCTAATACACACACACACA